GTCCACCTACCCTATTAACATCACAGAGGCAAGCTGTAGCCTTTATTTAAATAATTGTGTATATTTTAAAGACATTAAAAAGGAAAAAAATCACCTGCTGCATTTACCTAGGTATTTAGCATTTCCAATATTCTTCAATAATTCTAAATATTCAAGTTTCCCTTTGCCATTATTGCCCTTCAGTCTGAAAAACTTCATTTAACATTTCTAAAGTCTTCTTGGCAACAAATTCTTAGTGTCCTTTTAGCTGAAAATGTTGTCTCAACTTCATTCTTGATAGATATTTTTATTACATACAAGACTCAAGGTTGGCAGGTTTTGTTCCTTTCAGTACTTCATAGTTTTCCCCTCTGATTGCCATATCTGATAAGCAGTCTATGTTCATTTAAATTGTCTCCGTATATGTAATGTGGTGTTTTTACCTGGCAGCTTTCAAGATCTCTTCATCATTGTTCTTTGATGGTTTGACTACTATGTGACTATGCATGGTTTTCTTCCTATCTATCCTGTTAGGGGCTTGCTGAACTTTTTGAATTTATATTCATTCATCCAATCTGGAAAGTTTTAAATATTATTTCTTTAAATGTATTTTCTACCTTATCTCTCTAGTGTCTCCTTCTCATTCTCCAATTACACACGTGCTAGACATTTTGATATTGTCTCACATATCTCTGAGGCTCTGTGGATTTTTTTATAACTTCTACCCTCCCTCTTCTTTCTACTGAATAATTTCTATGGTTCTAATTTCAAGTTCATTGGTTCTGTCTTCTGTCATCTCTGCTTTTTGGCTCATCCAGTGATTTTTACTTTCAGACATAATTTTCAAAAAGCACTAAGAGTTCCATTTGATTCTTTTTAATATTTTCCATTTCTCTGTTGATATTATCTGTCTTTTCATCAGCCTTATGCATATTTTCCTTTATGAGAAATTGGAGAGTTTTAAGAGCTGCTTTAAAGTAAGTCTTTGTGGGGCGCCTGGGTGGCTTAGTCGGTTGGGCATCCGACTTTCGCTTAGGTCATGGTCTCGCGGTTTGTGGGTTCGAGCCCCGCGTCGGGCTCTGTGCTGACTGCCAGCTCAGAGCTTGGAGCCTGTTTCGGAGTCTGTGTCTCCCTCTCTCTCTGACCCACCCTTGTTCACACTGTCTATCTCTCTCTCTCCTAGAAATAAATAAAAATTAAAAAAAAAATAAAGTAAGTCTTTGTGTGATGATTTGAACATCTGACCCATTTTGGGGTTGATTACAATATCCTAGCTCAATTTGAGATTGTATCCTGAACACTGTGAATGTTATGTTGTGAAAACTCTGCGTTCTGTTACAGTCCTCTGAAGACAGTTAATGTTTTCTGTTTCAGTAGGCAATTAACCTCATTAGATTTAAACTGCAAACTCTGTCATACCTGAGGTAAATGGCAGCTTAGCTCTTGGTTTTGACTGCCCCATGCAAGCAAGATTTAAGATCAGCCAGAGGTCCAACGCTATATACAGAATCAAAGTTCTCCTTCTTTGGCTCTCTGGTTACCCCAAACCATTTACCTGGCTCCTCCCACCAGAAGAAAGTGGGCTTTCTATTGGAATGTTAGCTGTTTCACATTATCAATGCCACAACTATGCTGACCTGAGGACAAAGCCCCCCAAACAGAAATCTCACTCTGCCATTCACTTTCTCTATGTTTTGACACCTCCAAAATAGGCTGCTTTCTGTTCAACTACCCGAGCTTTCAGATGGTAGTTTTTTGTGTTTTACTCATAGTTTGTCATCAATCTCTGCGGGAGGTCTTGTCAGATAGGAGCTACTCAATCAAGAGCAGGATCTCATCACCTTTTTAATATACAATTTCTAAAGTGGTAGATTGAGGGAGTACGGATATACTGTGTGTGTGTATTTCAACAAAGTACCTGAAATAATCTTTCATGATATCCTAGAATAAAAAGCATGCTTAACACTCCTATGTTAAGGAATGAAACTCTAGAGATCATTTTGTTCAATACTTTCATTTTGTAGACATGGAAACAGAGTCCCAGAAAGTCAAACAGCCAATAATATATCTAGGATGCAATGCAAAATATCCCAATAGCTAGTTTTAGTACCACCCTCTCAATACCACACATTTATTTTGGACATAATAATGAAGTCGGGACTCACTAATATTATAATTAAAAAGTTTTTACATGGTAAAAACAAAAACTTACTCAAAGAATATTAAGCGATAGAGGTCTAACCTGGCAGAGGATTTCTAATGATACAAAGAAAGCTTTACTGTCTTTTTGCCCTATCCTGAATAAATACACGTTCCTACATTCATTCACTCAACAAATATTTACTCTTTGCTGATCATGTGCTAGCAATACAGTAGAAAACAAGAATGACATTGTTCCGCCCTTGTAAAGTTCATATTCTAGCAGCTTATATTCTAGGCCATGAAACAGAAAATAAACAATGAATAAGAAGCTTTCCATCCTGGTGATAGTCTTAGCATCCTTTTTACTTTAGATGCTTTCCTTAGGCAAGCTCAGTTTCTCCTCATGGTTTCCACAATGTATTTGCTGATTAGTCTCAGTTTTCCATTTTAAACACAGATCCCTCAAATGAGCTCTAGATTATCTCTTGTATGCATTCAATGACATGTACCATACAGGCCATTCGAACTGCCATGCCCCAAAGTAAACTTAACTCATTCCCTCTAAATGTATTTCTTTTTCTGCCTTTCCCATCTCAGTGGTAGCATCCTAGATGCCCCTGCCTGTTTTACTTTTCACAACCAGTGAGTGGGTCATCAAGGTCTCTTAATTCTACTTTCTGAATCTTTCTGCACTATATCCAACCACTTTTTAAATATTATTTCAGTGGCCTCTTAAGCAGTTTCTTGGCATTTTGCATCAAAATTGATTTTCTATAACACAAATCTAATTATGTCATTTTCCCTGTGCCTTGTTGATACTTTTGTCAGCACTTATTTTATTGTACTTGATTACTTAGATAATTGCTAGACTTTGAACAAGTAGAAGGAAGGAACCATAATTTGCCCTTCTTAAATTTCCATAATCTAGTAATAGTAAATAAAAACCTCAAACAAGGCATTGAAGATGTTCTCACTAAATCTGTGGATTACAAAATTTGCAGGAAAATACCAGAACTTCAAGTATACAAATTGCTTAAATAGTAAGCTGAGCCAAAAAGAAAATGTCTACTAGGAAAAGTACTGAATGTAAGTAAAATTAGTAAGTAAAGAAAATAACAGAAACATAGGGAGGATCCCTTAGCAACACATGTGAGATGTAGGAATTTTAGTCCATTTCATTAGTAACTTAATTCTCAAAGATGCTAATGCAAACTTAAACTGCCTTAAAGTATCAGTAATAGGGGCACCTGGGTGGCTTAGTCGGTTAAGCATCCGACTTACGCTCAGGTCATGGTCTCGCGGTTCGTGGGTTCGAGCCCCGCGTCGGGCTCTGTGCTGACTGCCAGCTCAGAGCCTGGAGCCTATTTCAGAGTCTGTATCTCCCTCTCTCTCTCTGACCCTCCCCTGCTCACGCTGTCTCTCTCTCTCTCTCCTAGAAATAAATAAAAATATTTAAAAAAAAATTTAAAGTATCAGTAATAGTCCCATCTACACCAAGTGTTATGGGTACCATATTTTTAAGAGAATAAATGACAAATTGAAGGTCCTGTTGGGAAGATCAACTAGGACAGTGTGGGGACTGGAGGTCACTATTCCTAGAAAAAAGTTGAAGTTAATTTTGTTACTTAATCTACAGGAAAGAAAACTTAATGGGGACATAAAAGTTCTTAATTTGAAGAACAGTTCATGGTAGAAGAATAAGATAAACTGAGTAACAAAAGGTAACATCAGAAACACTGGCTCTGTAGAGAGAGACAGAGTTCAGCTCGGTGTAAGAGCTGTCCCCAAATGGGGCATCATTGTGTTTTTGCGAATTCTCCCACTCTAAGATTTCAAGCAGATGCTAAACAACAACATCATGGATGTTTCTGGAACAGGGGATTTCTGCACAGAAGAGGAGACTGACTTGAATGCTGAGCTGTAGAATACAGAAGGACACTGGCTCACTAATAGCATCTGGCTCCAAGAGAAATCAGAGGCAGGTCACTGGTATGGGCAGTTTTGGGTAACCAAGCAAGTTATCCAGACATCTCTCCTCCTGACCACCATGTGACAGCCATTTTCCACCTAGGAAATAATTGAGGATTCCTCTAAGGTAACCATTAAGTGGCAGTTGACACAACAGAAAAGCATCATGCACTTAAGAATGTTTACTATGCAGTTTTTAATGCAATAAAAACACTGAACGTAAGTGTAAATACAGGTAGTTATCCATAAACTATGTGAAAATGCCCTATAAATAAGAATGTGAACTTCCTGCTCCTTTGTCACTTTGCTTGTCATGAACATATTTATTCTTTAAATTACATAGCACCCTGGTCCCTATTTCTACTCCCCCCCCCCAACCAATGGGGTCCATTTACACAGGTGTGATGGAAAAAGAAAGAAGTAAAATGGTGAAGAATGAGAAAGAATACCTGGTCCTAGTAACATGGACTTAATAACCAAAGTTCTAAAAACAGAAAAATTATCCCACAGAAACAAATGTGATCTATGTTTCTCTAATGCTGACTTAGGCATACAGTGCGCTCAAGACACTTCCTTGGAATAGCTCAGAACCTAATTCCTACATTTAAATTTGGTTCTGTGGAGACACTTTTAAAACAATTAACAATTAATTCAAACACATCAGGACTATCTTTATGAAGATCTTAATGCCTTATCAATGTCATTTTCAAAATTAAAAAAGTAACATTTGGAATACAGCAAATCCACTAGTGGAAAAATCACTTGGGCTACAGCATTGAAAACAAACTTAGAAATTTCTTTTAGGCACAGATAAGCCAACAACACCTTATTACTCGTCCAAAGGAAGTGATCCTTTCCACAGGGGGCCAGGTTATTTCTCATTACATAGAGTTCTCAGAAAAGTTACTCACAGCTGAAGAGTAGAGTTCAAATTCTTGCTCAGGAAGGAAAGAATGCCAGCCATCTTCTATCACTTCAAACATGGGCCGGTAAAAGAAAGGGTACATCAGAGTGATAGAGTCCAGGGTAGACAACGCCTAGGGCATAAAAAGGAAATGAAAGAACGAAAAAGGAACATATTGCAATTTCAAACACTTTCTAACTACCAAATTGGTATTAAATATGATCAATAATGATACACACCTAATATATTTCTCTAACATTGTATTTACCACTAGATATAATTACAGCTTATTGAAGCTTTTAGCCTCTAACAAGGTATCTAGCACGTAACATACACTCAGTTAACATTGGCTGAATGAATACAAGAACAAAAAGAGAGTGTATACCTATCCTAGGAGAAAAACTAACTTTTGACACCACATAACAAAGCCTAATAAAAAGGTCCAAATATTTCTGGGAATCAGAAAATAAATAGATTTTGTTAGTAAGCAAGGTCATGGCTCAAAATCCCAGCTATCAACTATATCAACATATGTAAATTACATAAACTCAGTGTCTGTTAGTAACCATAAATAAGGGTGTTAGAGCTGAGTGGCCAAAGAGTCAGACTGGAGCCAAACTGCTAGACTCAAATTCTGGATCCCACTGCAATAACAATTAAGTAATGGAACCATTCCAATGCCCACATTTCCTCAGCTGTAAAATGGGGGGAATTAAAGTACCTATTCTCAAAGGGCTGTTGGCAGCATTAGGAAAGATAATATATATTACAGGCCTGTTAATAATAGTGCCTGGAACATAATAAATTCTGAAACTAATCTTGACAATTATATGCTTCACATAGCATACACTCCATATATGCTCCATCAATATTCATGTTCTCCCTCCTTAGAATCATATGCCATTTGGTTATGTATCATATTATCTTTATGTTACAGTGACCCATTCTCAAGCTTTGGCAATAACTCTGTGGTCCCCAAATGAGCCTGTATTCATCTGGAACTCTTGAATTCTGGGTAACAACACCAAGAAAATCCGACTAAATGGGAGGAACAGACAGATGAAATATCCTCCATCACCTGGCAGTTTCAACCTTCTGACAGAGGAGTTATGAAAAGCACTTCTATGGCTACAAAAAAGGGTACCAAAATCAATTAACATAATTCAAATTCCAGGAATGATGGAGACACTCAGCTGGAAGAGGGCGGGGCCCCAACATCATGCTAGTTCCCCAAAACTCTCAGAATAAAGCTGCCTTCCTCTAGGTCACAGAAGGATCAGATTCACAAAAGAATGGGCCCAAGACTCATTAGAAAATAGACTGGACGTGTAGTTTAGCAGTTAAACAAAAACATCCCCATCCAAAGCTATTCTTCTGTCTGTCCATGAATCATGACACCTTCCCTCCCCACCTCCTGACCCGGGGGTTCAAAAAACAGAAAATATGGAAAACCAGGGCCGGATAATCCATTATCCATTTCTATATAGTCTTTGGCTGCCAATCACACTAAACAGAAACAGAATGGCCAATGTCCACATATGACCTAGGCCAGAGCTGTCATTGTTCAGTACAAACATTATTTTATTTAACTGGCTTACTTTTTAAATGGTTTGTTTTTAAGATATTTTTTGTAATATTTATAAAATCTTTTTTCATCTTTGCTGAGGTAGACCTGACAAATAAAACTAGGAAGTATTTCAAGTGATCATCTCATACATTGTGAAAGGACTCCCCCATTGAGTTAATTCACACGTCTATCACCTCACATATTTACCTTTTGTTGTTGAGAACTTTTAAGTTCTACTCTCTTAGAAAATGTCTGTTATACAATACAGTGTTATCAACTGGAGAGACCATGATATACATTAGATGCTAAGACTATCTTATAACTGCAAGTTTGTAACTTTTACCAACCTGTCTCTATTTCCCCAGCCCCCCAACAACCACTTTTCCACTGCTTGTTTCTATTAAGTTTTGTTTTTGTTTTTTAGGATTCCACATATAAGTAATAACATGCAATTATTTGTCCTGTCTGGTTTATTTCACTTGACAGTTTCATCCAAATATTCAGTCACAAATATTAGGATTGCTGTTTTTCAAGGCTGAATCATATTCCAATATATATATAGGTACATGTCACATATTCTTTATCCAGTCATCTGTTGACAGACACCTAGGCTATTTCCATATTTTGGGTATTATGAATAATGCTGCAATGAACACTGGAGTACATCTGAGATAATGATTTTGTTTTCTTTGGCTATATATCCAGCAATGGGACTGCTGGGTGCCATGGTAGTTCCATTATTAATTTCTTAAGGAACCTCCTACTGTTTGCATACTGGTACAACCATGATTTTTAACACAAGTCAGCAGATACTTTAGCTGGTAATAAGCATTCATATTCTGACTTGTGATCACAATTTGTATTACTAACGATGAAAGAACTAACATTTCAACTCCAAATGTACTCCGAAGTTATATCAAAGTAGATAGGGGAGATAGGAAAGAAATTGGACACCAGGAAAAAGCAAGAGGCCAAGTTCACTATGTGTATTCACAACGTTGTAAAAATAACCAGTAGACCATTCACTTCCTAAGGTCAAATTATGAGAATGGCTCATAATTCATTGCTTCTTTTCAGCTCTAAGGGTTTCTATATAATCAGTTTCTAAAGGACTTTAGGTACTATACAGCTAATTAAACAACTGATTAGTGTCAGATGCTAACAAAGCTAAGTAAATGCAATCAGAAAGTGGGCTAATATCTTTGCCCTATATTTATTTCTTCACCACTATCCATCACCACATATGCAACTTCACTGACACCCACCAACCAGCTATTTTATAAGCTATAAAATGGATAAAAAGAAAAACGCAGACTTGCCAGTGAAAATCCAAACCCACAAATGAAAATAACCAGGCTTAAAAAGAAATGGGTTGGTAGCATTTCCCTGCCCAAACAGCAGTTTTTTCAACTTAACAGCGTAGAAAACCACAGTGTGCTTCTTAACCATCTTAGCGAATGTGGCCAAATCAACATTACTCTGTCACTTCCAAATGACAGATATGTAAGACAAACAGCTCAGCTCATCTTCTCGTTTTCTTTAAGGAAAATTTAGCAAAGGCAGAAAGTAAAATGGTTACAGGCCATTTTCTCAGCATCATAACTGTTGTTTCTTTCTCCGTTCTTGTTCAGAAACCAAACATGATCCTAATTACAGATTTTTAAATCTTTCTGCCTTCTATTTAACAAATAAGTCACTCACATTTGTTTTGGATACAAAGACCAGATTAGTCACTTGTAGACCAGGGATAAGAAATCAGTGTGTCTATGATTATCCAGAAAATATCATAAACCTAAAGTTAATTACTATAATTTAGTAGCAATGATTTAAAATAAGGCAATTTAAAATCTGAGCGTAAACCAAAATAGTTGGTTTGAATGGGGAAGAAAATGAAGTGAGCTCCTCAATTTAAATATTAAATTATCCAAGTAAAATTTCTATTACTTGTAATCTGAACAGATATTCAATACTGTTTATACAAATATAAAACACACTTTTTAGTCTTAGGCAAACATTTGCTAAGATAAGCAAACATTCCCTGTCTTAGGCAATATGATGTAGGGAAAATTCAGACTTGCTATAAACAAAGGACTATAATCACTGGTGGTAATTACTTGCTTTTACAATAGAAATAAATTCTAAAAAAAGCCTTACCATATATACATACAATGGATTATCATCCTGCCTTAAAAGGGAAGGAAATCCTGTCAAATGCTACAATGAGTGAACCTGGAAGAATAAGGAACCCGGAAAAAAAACTGCTATAAGTCAATAAAATCCTATTACATGCCTATAACAATGAATCGGGGTGAGGCTTTTCCTATCAATTTTGAATATGTGAGTCACAGAACATGACCAAATATCTAGTAAAACAAACATAAGAGCTACACTGAGTCAGAATATAAGGTTCTTTTTTATTACTATTTACTTTTATCAGATTTTGCTTCTGAAACATTTACCTCAATGGAACTGGCAATATTCAAACATTCCTCCATTCCAGGAATATCCAACTGAATTATTCGAAAGTCTTTACATTTTATGATGATGGTACCCAGTGGTCCCACAAATCTGTAAAAAATTACAAATTATGCTTAGGGACATATACATTTCTATCTTTTTTTTTTTAAACAAGTGTATTTATTTACTTTGAGAGAGAGTGCAAGCAAGAGCAGAGCAGAGAGAAAGGGAGAGAGTCCCAGGCAGACTCCACACTGTCAGTGTGAATTCTGATATTGAGCTTGAACACACAAACCATGAGATCATGACCTGAGCTGAAATCAAGAGTTGGACACTTAACCAACTGAGCCACCCCAGTGCCCCACATATATTTATATCCATAAGCATACGATTATTTCCTTGAAAAAAGAATGTAGTTGTAACTACCACCTATATTCACCTTTCTTCTCCCCAAATAGTCTAATTAAGAAAGAGGCAAGCTTACATTACTAAAATGTGAGCCATGAATTATTTTAAATATACGTTACTCAAAATTTTTTCAAATTCATCAAGTAATTCATACTACTAGGCCAATTCATTTAATGAAGATTATCTGGAGTCTTATTTCAAAGAATAAGGAAAAAAGATCTCTAAGTAAATGTTTGTACAGAGATATTTCCGAAACATAGGAAAACACTTTCAGATTTTACTTACTTCTAAGCTTGTAATAGTTTATCTATTCTAAATCAATGTCATATCTAATCATAAATTTTTTATCAGTAAATTTTGCACAAACGTAATTTTACCTTTATTGGAATTTTTGTCTTCCTTTTATTGTAGTTGTTTTGTTTTGTCTGTACCTGCTGACAGTTCTGATTTTTCTTTTGCTTTGCCACTGGCTGGCCCAAATCTTTTCCATTAATAGTTCTGGGTATACCCTAAACTAGGAATTCTTAGATTGTCCAAATGCTGTTCATTTTACCTACTTTTTGCCCAGTTTAGAAAGACATCTCCTATAGCCACTCTTCCTGAACTCCATCTCAATCGTAAGCATCCCTATGCCTCACATCACTGCACTGTTAATTTGGACAAGCAAATATTATCAGCATGGATCAAATCCTAGTAAAGATAATTCCACCAGACATCTACAACCTATCAACACATTGGAATGCCCCTTATAAAATTTATTTTGAAAATTCACATTCTTGGCACTTCTACTTCTGGCAAAGGTAGAATAACAGGGACCAGATTTACCCTCCCACCTGAAGCAACCAAAATAACTGGACAAAATACAGGAAAGAACTGTTTTCAAGACACTGGACATCAAGCAACAAAGAACAGAGATCTCTGGAGATGGGAAACAAGGTGAGTCCTACTATTACCCCGGTTTACTGTTTTGAGTTTCCAGGCCACAGGAGAGGGAACCTGGGTGGGGCTGATAGTCTGAAGAGAGCATCTATATTAAAAAAGAAAGTTTCCTAATAGTGCCTTCAGATTCCAGTATACTAGAAAAAGAAGAGCAAGTTAAATCCAAAGCAGAATATATTAAATAATAAAGATCAGAGCCAAAGTCAATGAAATAGAAAAAAGAAAATTATAGGGAATAAGAAAAGCAAAAATGATTGCTTAAAAGCAATAAAAGCAGTAAATCACTTGCCAAAATGATCAGGAAAAAAGAAAATTTGTCTCAATTTACCAATACCAGAAATGAGAGAAATGAGAACCACTATAGATTCTGCAGGCGTTAAAAAGATAAGGAAATACTAGTAACTTTATGCTAATAAATTCAACAAGGTAATGGACAAATATGTCCAAGATATGGACAAATTCTTAGAAAACACAAACTCAAGGAGAACTTAATTAGTTCTATAGCTTTTAAATAAACTGAAATTTTCATTAAAATATCTCCCACTACACACCAAAAAAAAAAAACCAAAAAAACCCAAAAAATAAAAAAACAAACCAAAAAAAACCCTTCAGGCCCAGGTGGCTTCGCTGATGAATTCTATAAAACATTTAAGGAAAAAGGAAAAAGTACTATTCAAGACAAACTCTTCCAGGAAGTTGAAGAAGCAGCAATTTATTTATCAATTCATTCCATGGGGCAAGCATAACCCTAATATATTAAAAAAAAAAAAAAAAAGACATTACAAGAAAACTATAGACCAATATACCTCATGAAGCCAGATGCAAAATTCTAAACAAAAATTAGCAAATTAAAAATCCAACAATATATGAAAAGAATAATACATCATGAACAATTGGGGGTTATCATTTGAAAATCAAAGCAATTTATCATATTGCCAAATTAAAAAAGAAAGACACCACATGATCATCTCAATAGATATAGAAAAAACATCTGACAAAACGCAACTGCTATTCCTGCTTTTAAAAAACAAAAACAAAAAGCCCCAACTCTATGCTAACTAGGAACAAAAGGAAACATCTACAACAGTATTTACCAAAACAAAACAAAAACAAAGAAACAAGCATACCACTAATTGCAGGCTAAACGGTGAAAGACTAAATGTTTTTTTCATAAATGTCAGAAATAACAGAGATGTTCATTCTCACCACTTTTATTCAACACTGTTGCTGGTTAATAGCAAGTACAATGAGGCAAAAAACAAGAGGAATAAATGGCATCCAGACTGAAAAGGAAGAAATAAAACTTTAGTTGCAGATGACATAATTGCCTACTTAGAAAAGCCAATGAAAAATACATAAAAGCTATTAGAATTAAAAGATGAGATTACTAAGGCTGTGAGATACAAACTCAATACACAAAAATCAATAGTATTTTCATATACTATTGCAACAATTGTTTAAAATGCCCAGGATTTGGTTTTTATTCAGGATGGTGAGGCTGACAGATCAGGAGATGACTGCCACTGAAAAAGTTATTCTGTTATTCACAATTCCCAACAGGAGAGGCATACTGTGTCACGCAGAGCCACATGGTGAAGTGTCAGGGTCAGTCAGGAGGCAGACAGAGCAAGAGGAAAGCATTGGCCAGAACTTTTACTGTGATGTTTCACAGAAAAGAATGGGAAAGGCAGGGTAGGTGAGCTGAGCAAGTTTAGGATTAGAGTTTGAATAATTTTGTCAGGTTCTGGGTTATACAGCTGATCCCTAGTTATCTGGTATCTGGCCCTGGAGTAATTTAGGATGGGAGAGTAGTGTCCTGACTGCAGAAGCCTGATAAGAGGAAGTAGATGGGGGTATGGACTTGAGATTGGTTGGTCTGCATATCCAAGGTGTGCTTGCAGGCAATTAATTTTCTTGCTATCTCTAGGAAATAGTTAACCCTGAGTGGAAGCAGTCCCTCTCCAGGTCTGCAAGAGGCTTAAGAAATCAATGTACTATAAAATATAGAAAGTAAAAAACATAATTAATACATATGAGCAATTAGAAATTGAAATTTTTAAAATACCATTTGAAAGAGCATCCAAAAATGTGGAAGAGGGAAATCTGTCAAAAGATGTCTAAGTTCTGTAAGTAAAAATTACAACACATCATTGAAAGAAATTTAAGAAGACCGAAATGAAATAATGGAGAGATTTACTTTGCTCATGGGGCAGAACACTCAATATTAAGATATCACATGTCAACTCTCACCAAATTCATTTATCAACAGATTGAACACAATTCTCATCAAAATCAGAGGTTTTAAGAAATTGACAAGCTGATTCTAAAATTCATATGGAAGTGCAAACGACCTTAAACAGACAGAACTTTTAATTAGAACAACCATGTAATACTACGTAATTTCAACTTAATATAAAGTGACTGTAATTAAGACAGTAGTGGCGGTGTGGTAATAGCATCAAGATAAACAGATCGATGATCCAGAAAAGAGAGTCTAGAAACAGTTCTATTTATATATGGACAAAGATGCAAAGACAGTGCGTTGAAAAAAGGGGAGAACAATCAGAAATCTATCTGCAATATAAATACACACACACATATATGTATACGATAAGCTGTATATAAAAACTCAAAATGTATCATATACCTAAAGATAAAATCTAAAACTATAAAAGTGCTAGAAGAAAAGGAGAAAAAAAAATCTTTGTGACGTTGGGTTAGGCAAAGATTTCTAACCTAAGACATCACAACCCCAAACTGTAAGAAATGATAAATTGGACTTCTTCAAATTTTAAGTCATTTGCTCTTTGAAAGACACTGTTAGAGAAAATGAAAAGACAAGCCACACACAGACACTATTTGTAAATCATATTTAATAGAAGACTTGTATCTAAAATGCATATTTTTAAAAACACTCAAAACTCAGTAAAGGGAAAGATTCTGGGAAGATGGTAGAGTAGGAAGCACCAGGAATCTGTCTCCCAACCTAGACAACAATTTCATTGGCATGGTCTGTTTGATGTGACTATTTTGTGACTCTAAAGTCTATTAAGGCTTGCAACTTTCAGAGTTCCAGAGGCTTGGATGATAATTTTGGATAAACTCAGTGCTTAGCAAAATAGCAGCTACACATCCTAGGCATGTGGTGGGCAGCTGTGCAAATGTTCCTGGGGCAGCTTACACACAGCTTGCAGAAAGTATGTCAGGCAAAAAAGAGCCCTGTCCTCCAAATATCAGAGAAATGAGCCCCTGTCCTTCAAATATCAAGATCTATGTGCTGATGGCTGATTGCTGCTTCTGATCACAGAAGTGCAGAGGCCAGAAAACAACTGGTTATTGCATCCACTATTATTACATCTCCCTCCATTGTTGTAAGCCTCTCCCCCACAATTGACTTCCAGAGTATTTAAAGGACAGTCCCCTTTCCCCTCCCTGCCCACATTTCATTTTTCACTTTTCTCCTTTCAGGAGACAGACATTAAAGACTAAGACATTCAAAAACAATTACATAAATGAGGAAAATTAGGACTGCAAATGCTCAAGGGAAGGCTCAGAAAAGACCTAAGATGACCGTAAATTTACACTTTAGGCTGATCCTCGACATAGAGAAAGCTAACAACAACAAAAAACAAAAAGAAAAAAAGAAAGAAAAAGCAAACCCTGGGGAAGGAGAAAAACCTGATTTCCAGAATCACATTAGATCAAATGTTCAAAGTTCAATTAAAAAAAAAGTCACAAATATACAAATAAACAGTAAAGTATGC